TATTCAAAAACATTTTTTTATTGATTAATTTTAGCTGCCTCTGCGATGAATTCTTTGCGTAAAGTTTATAATGTCTGTCCATGTGCACCAGTCAAGGGTGAGAATTATAACCTGTCAAAATGACAGCCAAGCTTTGAATTTTTCCATTGTTTAAAAAGAAAAAAAATCAAATACAGAAAATATTCCGTTAACGTGACTGTGTTGCTGTCTTTACATACCTTAACAGCCCACAGCAATTCACAAGACAAAGAGGTTGTGCTGCTCAAAGAGGGACTGCTGGTATCCTTCTGGAATCAGACAAACACATGTCAACAGGCTTTGCATGTATTGTAAATAGTCTTTGTTTTTAATGCACAAATACACATTCAGATTTTACAACAAAAAAATACTACTCATCTGCACATTCCTTGGTATGCAATTTTTCTTCATTTTAATCTTCATTTATTTTTATGTGTAAAAGAACTAACAAACATGAGGGCAACAGACAATCCCATTGTTCACCATTATGATTTAACACTCTACTGTTTAGATACCTTCTCCTGGGCTGCCTGGACAAGCTATGGGAAGTCCATTTAGCCTCAAGGTTGGGTTATACCAATACACTAGAGGTCAAAGTTGGGCCGACAAGTAATAATCCTCCAGGCGCGGTATAGGGGTGAAAAGTGATGACAATTCTAGGGGCCCTGACCANTATGGATGTGTGTTTTTTGATCTGGGAGTGGGAACATTAAATTTTTACTGCTAAAAACAATCTTTGAAAATACAATATGGTTAATTTTGTATTTCACAGGGCCCCGATTTTTTTATTTTTATTTCTATGAACGAAAAATAAATAAATAAATAAATTGTGGAGGGCCCCCTGTTGGTTTGCCACATGTGCCAAAGAAATATATAGCATTCACTGCCAAGGCGGAGCAGGAGTGAAGGAAGTTAAATAAAATAATGATGGAACAGGAAACTGCGGTTCTAGCTATTCAGGATCTTGCTTTAATGCCTTTAAATGTGTGAAAGTCTAAGCCTCCTGGTAGATGGTCCTTCAGAGTACATCATGTGAAAACACTGAGAACATTTTGCACTGTCACCGCTGTGAGCTGCAATATATCAACATAAAGCATCATCTCCCCACACGGCTGCTTCTGATGCCTAGCTTACTGTACCGGCCAAACGGATGGGAGTCTTTGAGGTTTTTTTTTTTTTTTACATAAGGACACAAATAACCAATGGTCTCCTTGCTTAATGTGTGGCAGTCTACCCACAAGAAACACTTGACATTCAATTTTCAGCATGTACGAAGTCCTATCTGCAATGATTTTGACCTAAGTGAAGTTCCAATCACACGAAATTGGTGTCAAACGTTGGTGCTGCGTTTGTGCAGCAAAAACTTTCATTTTAGCTGCCATCATTTTAAAGATACTGATAAAAAGGTTTCCAGAGGACACCAGAGCTCAACCAGCCCCTCACAAACCAAATAGTTTTCAGTAATATCTTCAAAATAAGAGCAGCATTATTTGAAGCATAAGTTTTACTGTGCAAAGCAGCACAAGCATAGCGAGGTTGATTAACCCCAAATTTGTTTCATTTTGTAAATTAAACAATTTACATTAAATTGTTCAATTTACAAATGAAGCAATTCATAAATTAAACAAAATATTTAATTTAAATTGTCATCAGAGTTTGACCTCTGATGACCTATGGTACAAACGTAGCATAAACGCAGCAGAGTTGATGACCGGGGAAGAGGTGGGTCTGGTTGACCGTTTCATATTTAAACTGCCAATATCTTCAAAACAAAACATTATGAGCACAAACAAAAAGTTATAAACACAAACATAGCATTGTTTCCTACTACTATCCTACTAAAAGAAAGTGTGACGTGCAGGCAGACATCTGCACCATACAATATAGTCCAGCCTTGTTCATAAACCAGTTATTTGAAACATTTGGCAGCATATAACAGCAATTTCACTCAACGAAGAGTCTGCACCAAAATAGAGCTGCAAAGAAAATGTTTTTAACGTTGAAAAAAATGTATTATTTCTAGTAGCACTGCTAGGAAAGAGAATAAAGATAAAAACATAAAATAGCAGAGACTAAAGGCTCTCCCATAATTATTTTTATTGATGAAGTTGAGTGACGAAAAATGTGTCGTCTCTTTTGCAGGGAGGCTTTCTCCTCCCATCCTGACACCAGGCCTGGTTCCAACTATTTGTCACTATTTGTATTTTGCTGTGTAAATGTATATCTACCCATAGTTCACAGGTACATGTTGCTATTAATTATAGCAGTTACTTTTTTTCCCAGTAGAGGATGTTCATGTTCTTTGGTAAGTTAGTCATGCTTAGTCAGCAATATAAAAGTTTACAAGCTTCAATACCATACGCTATGTAAAGAATTCTGATGTTTTTCTGTCAACTCTGCCAAATGGCTAAAAACCCCCTGAGAGAACTTGAGAAGTCATTGTCTGCGAAGGAAGTTGTGTGCAGAAAGGTGTTGTGCTCTGTTCATTTGATGGATGCAGGCACAGAGGGGGGAACCTGGACGCGATGTGTGCTGAAGGTGGAGGGGTGACCCCATGTGTTTAAGGCGAGTGAAAATATGAACGTCCCACAACCACATCGACTGTTGCCATAAATCTCCACTTTCAGAAACAGAAAAATATCAATAGCAATTGTACTTCAAATCAATAAGTTTGGTGATTAAACCCTGAAACTGAGCTTAGGGAATCAATGACATCAGTTTAAGGGTTTGTTGCAGCATATTTCAGTTGTGAGGTGCATAATAACAGGCAGATGTCTAATGTCTTTATGCAATGGAACCTGTGGAGGAAGCCATGATTGAGAGCAAATATGATGGTAGCTACCATTCAAGGAAAGCAGATGTAGAAGATACTGAGGGAGCTTTAGAATAGAATAGAATGAAACATTGTACAATCACATTTGGGTACAATTCTCCAGAAAAAAACAAAGTCTCACTTAATGAAAGACTAAATAATTACTTATATTTCACCTATTCCTTGATAAAAAAAAAATAAAAAAATAAAAAAATAAACAAGGTCCCATAAATAGGCTAATGTGTCGATCTGCTTACACAGAAAGAGCAGGGAGTTCAGGTTTAATGATGAATTACAGATGTGCTCCATGTCTGTCTCACAGCTGACTCATACTGGAAGGTGGATGAAATCGCTCTGCTGTAAATGATGTCACCACTGTCCAATACAGAGAAGAAAACAGCTTTTTTTCACTCTTTGACCCTAAAATAGTCAGTGAGTCAACTGTGTAAAATGTCAACAAGTTTAGGCAGTATTATTGCATCTCACCGAAAAAAATAGCAAAGCTACACACACAAAAAACTGTTTTGTTGCAAAAACCAAACCAATTTTTGGTGTATTTTGTTGGGAGTAATTTGGACCAATCTAGTCCTCAGCTGCTGTAACAGGACAGGAGTGGTGGTTTTCTCAACCTTGTAGGTGAATGCTATGAAATCTGATGAATCCCAACTTTGGGAGCACAGTTCTGAAACTTTTGTCCAACACCGTACACACAAACAAAGAATATGAAGGTGGGACAATCGTACTTCGACCTTTGACCTTGTCAAGGTGGATAAAATAATGACCCATCAAGGTTTCTACTAGAAAGTTGAAGATGAGAGGACTTTCATTTGTTCAACACCCCTGTCAAAATAAATAAAACAATGCCTGGACAGAAAGAAAATTCAAGTTGTGCAATGGCAAAGTCCAGGTTTATAAGGAAGCTGTGGTGTAACCTGAAGTAAAAAAAAAGTCAAGGTGTCCAAAAGACTCCTACTAAAGGACACTGAAGGATAAAGTTGTCACAATCCCTGATTGTTTCAGTTTGGCTTTTCATCTGCTTTTATACAGTAAATAAATCATTGTTTATTCATGTCAGCTTAGATCTTTTCTGATGACTTCATCCCTTTGTATTTTGTTTCTTAGTGGGTTTTCACACCTGCTTGTCCAGTAAACCGTTCAGGTAGGCATCAAAGTTGCTAAATTTGTTACATTTTTTAGCAGCTATGGTTTGCTTTCTCCAGGTTCTCCGGTTTCCTCCCTCAGCCCAAAAACATGACTGTCAGGTTAATTGGCCTCTCCAAATTGCCCCTAGGTGTGAATGTGTGTGCATGGTTGTGTGTCCTGTCTGTCTCTGTGTTGCCCTGCGACAGACTGGCGACCTGTACAGGGTGCCCCCGCCTCTCGCCCAGAACGTTAGCTGGTGATAGACACCAGCACCCCTCCCGACCCCACTAAGGGACAAGGGTGTAAAGAAAATGGTTTGCTTTCACACTGCACTGTCAACAAATAAAGGTAATTGAAAAAAAAAAAAAACTGTTCTCCTCCTCACCTGAGGAGTGGCGTTGCACCAAGAACATCTCTGATGGGAAAGTTGATTTCCAAACAAACTGGATTTTCTAGGTGTGATGTGAATGCACCCACAGTTTATTCTTTCATTTTGTTTCTTTTTTTGCATTTCTATCAAGCTTCCTAAAGTTACTGTTAGTCTTCTCTTTAGCTTCTCTCATATTAATAGTCTGCTTCCCACTTCTTCTTTTTTGGCTCTAGTGGCCTTTATTTGATAGTTAATTGACAGGAAAGTGGGTAATGAGAGAAGGGGGAAGACATGTAGCAAAGGTCGCCAAGGCTGGGAATCGAACCTGTGACAGCTGTGTTGAGGACTAAGGTCTACATATGTGGGTTGTGCTGAACCCCTGCGCCACCACAGCACACCCTGCTTCCCACTTCTAATGTATTCATGTTCAACAGTAATCTTCACTCATGCCTTTTGCCTCATCATCCTCATCATAATGATGGATCGTGTGTTTCATCTGATCCGTCACTCAAGTAAGATCTGGATTTTTCACTGTTCAGCACCAGATTCTCGGTTTTCATACTTTGTTCCATGATCTGTTTTTCTCTTCCAGATTTTTGTTTTGCTGTGAAATCTTCAATTATACTTTAGCTGAGCAGCTGTCTGTGCATTGGCTCAGTCTCTTCACCACAAAACATGACCAATATTGAATTAAAAGCTGATTGAACAATAGTATGAACACCTATGCCACTAGATTGTTGTAGTTTTTCTCATTTCTTTCAGTTGAACTGTGTCCTACATATCTCACATTAAAAGGAGAAAACAGATTTGAGCAGGTTAATCTTAATTAAATTCATTTTTCTTTAATGTCATAAAAACTTGTGAAGTCTACAGCACTGTTCCATGTTTGCACCATCTGTGAAGGATGTTTGCTGTTTCTGTGGTTTCCAAAACCTCAGAAATTTCTTCATAACTGATGTTTTTAAGTGTTGATTTTAAAGAGGTTTTAGTCTGCTTCAAATAGTCAGACATATTTTATTTAAGGCATTTCATGATGTAACAAGTCCTATAGTAAAACAAGCAATCATGACTTGGGTCTCTCTCATAGCAGAACAGAAACAATCTATAAGGAGGCATTGTACAAAGACATAATCTAAAGTAATATAAAAAGGCAGGCAGCTTAAAGTGTAGAAAGACATTCAGAAACACACATTTTTCTTTCCGCCTATCTTCCTACTCTCTAATGGGGACAATCAAGTAGACTTGAACACTGGCGTGTACATGTGTGAGAACATCTTTGCAGAACTGGAGAGATCACAGAGAGATAAGCAGGTCTATGATTGCAAGTTAGACTTGAGAGTAAATTCGTAAATTTCGAGAAGCCAGGAGAGAGGAAGAGATAAGAAAAGCAAAGTATAAGGTGATGGTGGAGGAGAGGACACGGGAAGGGTATCCAAAGGAAGAAAGCGATGAAGAATTGAGAAGACAAGAAAGAAGACGAGTGAATGTGCCAGGATGGGATGAAACCGAGAAAATGGGGAGGCATATCAGACAGGGGAAGAGCGGAGAACCTTGTTTTTCTCTGATAAGCACGTATCAAAGCTGTCTTGGCTGTCAGATCAAAGACTTGGCGTCACCGCAGAGTCAACCTCTCTGAGCATCATATGTCCAAGGGAGCCTTTGGGATTGGCAATCAGTGATGGGGACAAGCTAAACTGGCTTGGCTGGAAGGAAATGAAGTGTAACGGAGAGTTCATCTAGACGCTCTGGGATTCCCATTATACAGGAGGATGACTCAAGAAGCGATGTTGATTTAGCATAACACGGTTTTAAGTAAATGAAACCTCACAGTGCTCTCCCATGTGAAAACTCCCACTTTGCCCTCGCACATAGTTAGCTTAAACCACTGATTTTTTTTTCTTTAATGGAAACTGCACATAAAGTATAATTTCTATTCGTTTTGTTTTATATGCTTGTGTAAGGATTCATTTTTTTGTGTATTTTTCTAATTAATTTAATTCTTGTGTCGTCTCGTCTGCCAGACTAAAGATGACTGATCTAATTCCTTTTCTGGGTTAAAAGTAATATAAACTAAGCAGTGACTGTTCCTGTTAAGTATTTCTGGATTCGTATTTATTCAAATTTTAATTCTGATTCCATTTCTGGGCTGTATAATATTGATCTAAATAGTGCGTACTCCACAATTTCTATTACTAATAAACTAAAATAATCCTTTTCTGGGTTAAATAGGGAGTACTCCACAGTTTCTAAAACAAAAAAGAGGAAAGGACATAGTTGGGCAGATGGCAACATTCAGACAAAACAAAGGGCAAACCAAAGACACGAGTGAAGGCGGTGACGTCAAAAGGCCACAAAGAAGCGCCCTGGCAGAGTCCGATAAGGTGTTGTTTATCTAGGAATGTCCTTAGGAACGTTCAGCTCCACAGCTCCATGGAATCAGGAGGGGGTGAGGAGGGAAGAGCGTTGTGTTTGCATATCTTCAAGGAGATCAGAGATATGCAGCCCTTCCAAGGCCACACGGGGAAAGCCAATTCATAAACAGAATGTCTTAGGTCGGGAAGATTATGAATTTCAAACTTCCCTAAAGTCTCTCCGATACATCTCAGTTCCCAATCATCCAGATTAGGTTAGTCATTCCACTGAGCCGAAACTAGCAACTTCTCCAAGATCGATTCTATCCGGTTAGTGAGTTTTAGAGTCCTCATCTCTGTCCACACCAACAGTCTGAGCGTTCGCTAGTTCGGCCAAGTCCGTCACAAATTTGTCAATAATCCAGGAATCCACAAGCTCCAAACAGCAGAAATCCTGTTATCATGAATACATCCAGGGTGAATCCCGCCGGGTGTGTCCCTGCAGGACAAGAGGCTCTCCTGTGCCCAGACTTCTCGTCGAAAATTTTATCAATTGCATTGAGAGACCAGTTGACCAGATCCATAATTTGTAGATTTGGAGGATGTGCAAAGAAAGGCTACAAAAATATAAGAAAAGAGAAAAAGACAGGAGAAAAACAGAGCAAGCAGGACAGGCAAGGGCAGGGAAGGAGCAGAGGAAAAAAGCGTCCGCCTTCATTGAGAGCAAGAAAGCTCTCGATGAAGTGGCCACAAATGGTCTCATTGCCCTGCAGAACTGGTCTCCCCTCCGCCCCCCCTGGATGGACTTAACGGAGCTGATGGAGGACGCAGATTAGTACAGCTGGTCAATTCTGGCAGTGATTACCGGGGACCCACGGCCACCCAAGTCAGATATCCCGGTCTTCCACTCCTCCTCCACAGCTCCAGTCACCCCTCCATCCTCAGCACCAGCCACAGCTTATGCCCAGTAAGCGGGCCAAGAAATTCCCCGGCATATCCCAGTGCTCCATCCAAACTTCTTAGTGCTCCGCCGGCAGCTAGCCTCCAAGAGCCCGAGCATGTACCTGTGCAGCCTGCCTGTGCTCCCGGTCCTCCTGTTGGTGCTCTGGAGCTTCCTCGTGGTTCCAGCCGGTCTCCCACCGCCCTCTGCCGCCTCTTTGTGGGTTCGTGTGGCTTCCCGGCCGTCCACTGATCACTTTTTGTGTGTCCTTCGTATGTTTTGGGTCTACAACAGCAAAATGACTTTAGGTGGTTCATGTCATTTCCCTTCGTTCATTATAGACTGCTGCTCAGAGTTAGTCTATGTTTGAATCTGGGTTACATTCTGAATCACATTTTTGTAGAGTTTAAAGCCAAGACCTTAAAAAAGATTGTTACTTCGATACTGCTGAGTACTAGCTGTTCATTTGAAAAGGTTAAATTTCATGTACAGGGTGAAATGTGACTTAATTTCATACTTTCATTTCTCTTGCAGAAGACAATTAGTACCAAAATATGTAAATAACATAGCCTCCCTGTAAGCCCCTGAAGTAATGAAAAAAGGGCTAAATGTCAGAAATTGGAGCAAGAACTTTAATTATCTTTTCTTCTCTTAAAGTAACTTTTATGAATGAATTTTAACATTTTTGCCAACATTCACATTCCCCTGTGTATGATATTGCCATTATCACACAGATGTTCTTTTGATACTGAAAGACGACTTAGTTTTTAATGTAAACACTGACAATGTACTTAAGAAACTAGCATTTATTTTCTTATTTTGCCAGTAGATTTTTTTTTCAATAGTTGCCTCATGTATAGCTGGGATTCCTTTTTGTTCTGTCCATCAATCAGTAAAAGAACTACTCTGCCTCCACATGTCTGCCTGCAACAATCAAATTTTCCCAATAACTGCATGAAACCTGTTTTAGTAGTAAAAGCGACATTACCATCTGACTCTGATGAAAAGCCATCCCAAGGGCTGCTGTTGGTGTGTAGCAGAAATGACAAATGATGTAAGAAGAATCAAAATAAAACCAAAATGGAGATTGCCGTGTTGTCTTAAAATTGTTGTGTGACCTTTAGCAAATTAAGAAAAATAAATACAAATGACCATATTCTATTTCCACTGAAGCTTATATGCATAAGACTGAAAGTTCAACAAGCTGAGCAAGTTCAATGAGCCTTGTTCAGCTTTAATCTGCTGCTTTTTGCATGATTTTCACTTTCAAATTAAAGTAAAATTATAATGATGAAAATGATAGAGATCACAACAAGAAACTGCAGTCAAGCATGAGGAGAAACACACTGTAGTTCTTTGATTTAGGCAGAATCAGAATAGCAGTCACCTCAGTGATGATGATGGTTCTCATCATTCTAAGTATGATTAAGAATGTAAATGCTTTTGTCTTTCTAGAAATGTAAACCTAGAAACAACTTCAAATTGTTGAACGTTCCTCTACAACCAGAAGTGATTTGCATAAAAGCTACAAGTTCACCACTCACACTTTCTGACCAGCAGGGAAGAATAATGACAAAGAACCATGAATGTGTGTAGATTACAACAGATGCTAAACTAAATACATTTCAATATGCCCTGCTTCATGGCTGTGGGTGAAGTCAAAGTTAAGGCACTTAGGAGTCCTTGAGAAACTGTCAAAAATGGTAATATAATGAATAACTTGTGACATTTATATTTTACACTACAACAGATTGCTGTGTGGAAAACTCTCACAAAATTATGTAGGTACTTTTCCCCCTGTTGGTTTTGATTTTTCTCCCTACAAGAAAATGAATAGTTACTGATATTGAAGTAGAGGTAATGCTTGCATGTTACTGAATCCAACAAATATCTGACCTCCCCTTCACAACATGACTAAGTACTTGGTGATCACTCCTTCGTTGGAACACACAGCTATAAGACGTTTGTTGTTTTTGGTCACCAGGGTTTGGATTCAACTCAGGAGGGTTTCCAGACTGCAGTCTGGCTGTTACTCAATGACTTCAGTGTGATTCTTCAACAGCCACTCCTTCGTTGGCTTTCAAGTATGTTTTGGGTCATTGTGATTCTGGAATGTCTGTGACCCATTTTCAGTGTTCTGCTTGAGAGAAGTAGTTTCCTGTCTAAGATGATGGTCTATGGCCTCATCCATTGACCCCTTCATGTTTAGAAATGTACTACATAATGAGAAAAACAGATCCAGAGCAAAATATTTATGTTCCAAAGGCTTTTTTGCAACAAAGTTTTACTGCAATACTTTTATAAGGCAAATCTTAAATTATATGTCTTTTTTTCATTAGGATTTATGCAATTCATCATGCAACATATAAACATATTGACCAAATTGTGACTTTTACTGACACATATTTCATCCAAAGCCCTGTTCACACAAATATCACCTGGAAAATCCTAATGATGCTGAAAAATGTTCCTGAGTGGACAGTGTTTTTAGCAGCAGTTTCCTAACATAAAAGCCCCTTTATATGTAATGTAATGATGACTACACTTTTCTTTGGAGATAATGTTGGATATGTTGCCAAGTTTGCAAAATATGAGCATTAAAGCCATACAGAAGATTGGGCCACAGTGGCTCCCTAACATTCATGAGAGTTTGGAAAAACTGCCACTCACAAATAGCTAGAATCTGTTATTACTTGAGACTCCCTCTAAAAATGTGATTTACAGCCTATTTAATCATTTAAACACTAAATATAACTTAATATGCATACCCAGCTATGTGCTCTGTGAGAAGCACATAGCTGGTGCCAGGAGACACAGGCAAACCTTAGAATTTTTTTATGTTCTGGTCTTGTCTCAAACTTAATTTTAGCAGGTATCCATAAACTTTCGTCCATCAGTATTGACAAAACCTCACATTAGAGTCAAAACAAACAAAAAACGGTCTTTCCTACTAACAATTATGGAGGGGCAAACAAAAAAAGATTCAAAAATAAAATTACAAGAATCAAGTCATAATACAGAATTAGGTGAATGAACTGGCACGAGAATAGTCAGAAAATTATAAGAGTGACCCCAATACGTCGTCATACACAAGTAACAAACTGAAAGCTTTGAAAAGGTAACAAAAATGAACTTATTTGAATCTTTAAGGAATCTTCTCCAGGTGTTTAGTCCACTGCTGCAGCACATTTCCAAGTAAGATGTCTTTTCTTCTCCTGTTGGATGAACCTCCATTTGACTTGTTATTATTCTGTATTCCTCATGGTGTAAAAAAGCTGTTTCAGACACTCCAGATTGTGTGTACCATAATAAAGAGCATGATGTTATGGTTCTGCAAAAATCTTGTGCTTCAGGGTGTGAATACATTTGTTTAGGTTAACATTTGTTTCCCGAGGGCTACGTAGAGACAGACATAAAATAGGGACGACAGAATGTGGGGGAAAAAACAGCAAACTGTCAGTCACATGTGACTGTGGCCTAGAAAACAAATAGGATAATAAGTTAACAATGAAAAGAGCTACAGAAAAAAGGAAGCTGTAGAAAAGGCAGTACCTTGGAAAACAGAACATGACTGTGTAGGATTGAATGATAAAGTATAACAGCATCAGAAATGAAATGCTGATTGCCTCTGGACCTCTTCGAATATTAATCCAAATGCACAATGAAAAGATCTCATCACAATTACACTTTGGCCGGTGAATCATAATGAACCAGAATGGATTTTTGCATTTAGATTGAGGTTTGGGGTTTATTTCTCTACTGAGGTTTATGCTGGTATTGGTTCTGATGTCTGCAGAGCTGGTGAGGGTGATTTCAGCTGTACAGAACATCTACATCAGTCTGTTGTTAATTAATAGCACTAAAGTCTTGTCTCCCTCTGGTATATAGTTTGCCTTGCAAAAGTATCTACACCCCATAAATAGCTTCCCATTTTGTATTCTAGCATCTTTATATGTCAAGATTTCTTTGCAAAATAGCTTAAAGGTAACTAATAGTATTTATATAGTGTGGTGCACCTAAAAATGGCACCACAGTATTTTTTTATTTGCAGTTC